CATTGACTGAGGCGTCTCCCCAGGTACTGTGGCTCCCACTTTATAGAGACTTGGGCAAGGGGCTGGTGGGTCTCTGTCACTAATGTATCTCCTATGTACTTATCTGCTCCTGTTTATCATCTGTCTCTTCCCATTGTGAGCACTGTGTGTCTAAGCAGGGCCTGGTGCACAAGCTATCTATCCAGTAAGTACCTGATGAATGGAAGACACACAGGATTCTTCATGACCTGGCCTGAGTCTACCACTCTAGTTCATCTCCTAACATCCTTCCCCGCTCATGCTTATACTTCAACAAAGCCAAACGACCGTCCTTTCTGGAAATGCCACCATGCCCTGCAGGTTCTGTTTTTGAGCCACGGTTTTGTAATATCAAGGAGCTGCCAGCTCCTAAACTCAAGTGATCCTCAATTTCTTGACTAGCTGGGGTTATAAGCATATAATGCTTTTTAATTTAATTTATTTATTAAGCTTTATTTTCAGTGCTAGCAGCCCTGGGCCTCACATATGCAAGGCAGACAGGCTAGTGCTGAGCTGCATACCACCCCAGCCCGACTTTATTTGATTTTTAAGGACAGTGATACGATTTGGGGTTCCGCACCCTTTCTTAGGTTGGGAACTTGTTTTAGATAGAACTGCCCCCAGCTCAGTTAGGACAGGAAGACAGTTGATCCCTGTCTCAGTTAGGGTTTTCATTACTGTGTAGAGACATCATGACCGTGGCAACTCTTACAAAGAAAACATTTAGTTGGGGCTGGCTTACAGTTTCAAAGGTTCATTTTATCATCATGATGGGGAGCATGGCAGCGTGCAGGCAGATGTGGTGCTGGAGCTGAGAGTGCTACATCTTGCAGGCAACAGGAAGCTCACTGAGATACTCCGTGGTATCTGAACATAGGAAACCTCAAAGCTCACCCCTCCCCACAGGGACGCACTTCCTCCAACAAGGCCACACCCACTCCAACAAAGCCACACCTCCTCATAGTGCCCCTCCCTGTGAGCTTGGGGGGGGGGACAGTTATATTCACACCACCACAGTCCCCTTCCTTGAACAGTGTCTCGCACTATCTCTGTCAATATTTCTCTTACACAGTTGCTTCTTTTTTCCTTTCCCAAAGGAAACGATAGTTGATAATGCTTTTGAGGTTAGAGAAAACGAGAGTTAGGTTTTAAAAAAAATGGCCCTTTTTTTTGTCCAACCCTGACCCAAATTTATGTCAGGTTTTCATTATAATCTGGTTCGCACATACCTTTGTTTACCTAACAAAGTGCTGTAGATAGCAATACTTATCCCTTACCAAGTGCATCACCCTCTAATCGCTCCTGTTCATTTAAAATTCCATTTTTAAAAGCACACACAACCACTATAAATTCATTTTGGAATCCACTAATAGGCGGCCACAGAGTTTGAAAAACATGAATTACACCAGCAATAAACAAGCAGCCCTGGTGCGCTGGCTTCCTGGGAATGATGCTGTCTGTAGACTGACTAGGTGGCTTCAACAAGAGACCCCTTTCCCTGCAAGCTAGAGGTCAAAGCAAGGTGGCCAGAGTCTGTGCCTTCTAAGGGCTGGGAGGGAGGATTGGGCCGGCAGCCTCTTCTGAGTCTGTGTTGGCTGGCTGCCAGTCTGGGGTATTCTTACCTCTCGGGTGCCTCCCCTTGATCTCCCCCTCCATCCGCTGTGCATTATTCTCCCTGTGTGTCCAAATTAGCTCCCCTTTAAGGACACCAGTCATACTGGCTCAGAGGCCTACCCTATGCCATATGACCGCATCACAGCTTGCCTGATGACATCCTCTGTGACCCTGTTCCCAATTAAGGCTGTGTTCTGACATACTGGATTTCAGAATTCAGTGTATGAATTTTGGTTGAGGCACACAGATCAGCTCATCACAGATGAGAGAAATACAATAGTGACCACAGGAAGCCCCATCATATTGAACCCACATTGCATAGAGGACTCCCGGTTATGCCGTCTTATCTTATTTTATAATCAAGGAAACCAAACCAAGAGAGATTTTCTTCTGATCTCCTTGATTCAGAGCCCATGTTATCTCCTGACTCATGGCTCTACCTGTTTGCAGAATATCAAGAGAGAGGTACACTTAGTCATTTGGTCTCAATGGAAATGCAAAATCCGGGTCGTAAACACTACAGAATTGTGCTGAATGGAGTTCATTGTAGTGAGACTCTCTGAAGGGGCAGGCAGGTGCCTGTCCCCGAGGGCCCTGCCCCAGAGGTCTGTGGCTCCCAGGCTCTCCTGGCAGGTCATGCCCGCCAACCGCCAACCGTTGGTTCTGTCCACTCCGTTCCTTCCCCACCACAAGTTGCTGTTTTCCTGACAACACCAGGCGGCCTCCCTCCCTCCCTCCCTCCCTCCGAGCTTCCCCATCCGCCTTCTGAATTTAGATCAGGGTGAAGAGTACAGGGAAGGAAATGAGCCAGAAAATAGAAAATTAATACTTGGTGGAATTGTCATATTTTAAAAATAATTTATAACCAATGTCAGATAACAGGAGTTAAATCATTTTATCAGCAGGCTGCTCGAGGATTTGAAAATTGGCATCCATCATTATAAATCGGGTCTTGGGAATGGTCTCCAGGGATGCAGGTTGATGTGGGGTGGGCAGGAATGTAAATATGTGCTGATCTGGGTCCTTTTCTTTCACACAGACCCTTCCCAAATCTCATTGCATGATAATGGCATGTTAAACGCTAACAGGAGAGACAAAGCTATTTGAGGCCATAGTTAGCCCACTTTTCATATTTAGTCTGCCTGTTAGCTCTGGGGAACTGGTTCTGTGGAAGACATTCATTTCAAGGTGCTACTTCCAACCCATAATTTCAGGAGTGGGTTCATCCTCTTCTATGGGGGTTCCATTTTTTTTTTTTTGAGATTCAGATGCCACATTCTACCCTTGGGCCCCTGAGCAGACGTGCCCTTCAGAAGTCCCTTTCCTACCAAGAAGGGCCTCCACGATTAAAGGTCCACCTTTCATTTCCTGTCGTTACAGCTGTTTGCCGTGGCCGTGTGGTGAGAGTCCCTGCGGGCAGCCTGGTTCGAGTGGTGGGCACCGAACTGGTGATCCCCTGTAACGTCAGCGACTACGATGGCCCCAGCGAGCAAAACTTTGACTGGAGCTTCTCGTCTTCGGGGAGCAGCTTTGTGGAGCTGGCCAGCACCTGGGAAGTGGGCTTCCCAGCACAGCTGTACCGGGAGCGGCTGCAGCGGGGCGACATCCTGTTGAGGAGAACTGCCAATGATGCCGTGGAGCTGCACATAAAGAACGTCCAGCCCTCAGACCAGGGCCACTACAAGTGCTCAACCCCCAGCACGGACGCCACCGTCCAGGGCAACTATGAGGACACGGTGCAGGTTAAAGGTACAGTCCTCCCCCGGGGCCAGACCTTCCTCTGCCATTCTGCTGCTGCAAAGAGACTCAGTTTCCCCTGTCCATCGCAGTGATGGTGTCTTACCTCATGATAGGCAGAGGGTGGACCAGGTGACCCCTGGCAGCCTCTTTCCCTTTCCCAGTATAATTCTAACGCATCCTGTGGCCGGTGAAGGGTAGGCACCGTGGTGTGGTCACCTGTGAGAGCCCGGCTCTGGAGCCGGCTTGCCTGTGCAGTCGGCTCCTGGCTCTGCCACTCGTCAGCTAAATGGCTCCTGGCTCACTCCAGGCCTCAGCTTCCTCTGTCCAACAGAGCTTGCCTTAAAAGGTCTGGGGACAGGAGAGCTAGCCATGCCAGGCCTCTCCCGCCATGTCATAGCAAGTATTCAGCTTAAAGACAAGCTGGAAGGCATGCCTAGGAGGTTCAGCTTTATGGGAGAAATAGGTAGCTCCAAGTTGCTGTCTTTTTCTCTGGGACCCTCTTGAGCTAATGTTTGTTTGCAGCAGAAGTTGTGCTTGCTGTTTATAGATGATAAGACCACGTGGTTACAGCTGTTTGATGAACCCAGCTGTGCAAAGCTGACATCATAGGTGTCTGGAATATCTTGGGTTTGGGTTTTCCTTGCCTTGTAAGTGCTGTTGGACTTGCTCCCGCGTTCAATGATCTGAATCCGGTGAAGAAGACAGGGCAGGCTAGTTCCCTCATTTACACATGAGATGGGAGTGCATAGGTTAATTACTTGCTTAAAATGACACAGCTCGTTAGTGAGTGAGCAAGAAGAAGCTGTTTTCATTTGAGGCTAGCAAAACAAGAAACATAATTATTGTTATTATTAGTTGTACATTTATTTGGGCCCTGCTTTGTTTCTGAAAATATTTGTATCGGGGCAGGAGTGTGTATAATTACCTGGAAAGTAGAAAATGGTAATAGAAAAGGAATGGGCCGATCCAGGCACCCACCCTGCCGTGGTTGGTAGAAACCGATCCTGCTCAGCTCTTGCTGTTCCTTCACCAAACCAGGAGGGGATAAAATGTCAGCCAACCCATCAAGGAACCAAAGCATTAAGCCACCAAATCTACCTCTTCCATCCTCCCATGAAAGGTACAGAATGTAGGTGGGTGTGGTGGCATGCACCTGTAAACCTAGTGCTTGGGAAGCTGAGGCAGGAGGATTGAAACTTTGAGGCTAGCCTGGGCTAGTTCAAAGCTAGCTTGAGCTACATAGTGAGACTCCATGGGGAGGGGGTGGGGATTGGGGTATAGGAAACGCGAAAGTTCAGTGGTAGAGTGATTGCCTAGATATGTAAGGCCCTGGATTTGACTTCTAGAATTGGGGGGAGGGGGGGTCCTGACCTTTTTTTTTTCTTGCAAGACTTCCCCTAAGGCACTTTTGCACTGAGTTAAGCAGACAACAGATCACCCCTCCCTCAGTCAGACACTCTTGTGACTTAACTGTAAGAAGTGGAGGGTGACAGAGCCCCTACCCCTCCCCAGTATCTGCCTGTTTCCTTACCGGTCTTTGAAGGCAAGAGAGGCAAGAAGAGGCTTTTCTTGGCTCAGGAGAGCAGAAGGACAGTGTGAGAGGCTGGCTGGCTGCCGAGATAGAGTCTCTGGCAGGAGCCCGACGTGGTCCAGCATCTGTCTGGCCTTCAACTTCACAGGTCCTGAAGCTGCCTCAGTGAGGAGCTGGCCTTGAGAATGAAGCCGTGCTAGCCACGCCCACAGACTGATGTGTGTGTGTGTGTACTGGAAGGCCACTCTATTAGGGCTGTAGAAGGGATGGACCTGTGGGAAGTGTTCTTCTGAAGGAGCAACGTGCCTGTTATCTGAGTGTGTAATCAAGGGGAAAGCCAGAGAGATGATGAACTGTGATGCTTGAAGAGCCACATGTGCAGCTCCTGGTGAGCTTGGAAGGTTTTCCCAGCCCTTGGTAGACAGCCCCCACCTGACTCTTACCAGATCACCAGCATCGGCCGCCGTCCCTTCTCCTGAACCCACCCTCTTTTCTAGACTGTAGCAGTGGTGCCTTCTCCCCGTTGGTGCTAAGAATTAGCAGCAGAACGGTCAGCATTTCTTGGCCCCTGCCTGTCCTGTGGATGTAGCCTACTCAGGACACGAGCCACAGGCAGCTCCTGCCGTCATCTCTCTCCCTGGAGATCCTGAGTCTTGGCAGCTCACTTGTCTCTAGAGTGCAGAAATGGAGTGAGGAATCTTTCTTAGGTAGCTGCCGTGGCTCAAGGCCAGAGTCATGGGATAGGTAGCCTGTTCCTTCCTGATGGGACAGGACCAGTGGTGACCACTGACTGACACCTTCCCTCTGTCCTCCACAGTGCTGGCAGATGCCCTGGCGGTGGGCCCCAGCTCCCGGCCTCCTCCAGGCCTGAGCCTGCGTGAGGGGGAGCCTTTTGAGCTCCGCTGTGTCGCCTCGACCACGTCACCGTTGCACACTCACCTGGCACTTCGGTGGGAGCTGCACCGCGGCCCAGCGCTCCGCAGCATCATAGCCCTGAGCCACGAGGGCAGGTTTCACCCAGGCCCTGGCTATGAGCAGCGCTACCACAGTGGGGATGTACGCCTGGACACCGCGGGCAGCGACGCCTACCGCCTCTCTGTGGCCCGGGCGCTCTCTGCAGACCAGGGATCCTACAGGTGTGTGGTCAGCGAGTGGATCACAGAGCAAGGCAGCTGGCAAGAAATCCAGGAGAAAGCTGTGGAAGTGGCTACCGTGGTGATCCAGCCGACAGGTGAGGTTTTGAAAACGGGTCACCAGTGACCGGTTACGGGACTAGACCAGGAAAGGGCTAACCCCGCTTCCCCTCCTTGGGCAAGGGGAGCAGAGTGGTGTTGGTAGCTTGGGGAAGAGTATCTCTGCTGTGAGCGGTGTGCTGGTACTAGTTTTGCCTTCCTGCAAACCTGGGAACCTGGGCTGTTGCTCACCGTGTAGAGGAAGGACTCAGAGGTGAAGAATGACGTCCTGTCAGGGCCCACCTGATGTTCCCTGGAGGTATGGGGACATTCGTTCACACCTGCTGCTTTGGCTTTTGCTTGTTTACTATTCCCTTGAGTCCTTGGGTGTGCCTTCCCTGGTGGCTGTGGTGGTGTGTGTGTGTGTGTGTGGCTGACTCCAAACCTCTTGCCAGTGTGGCCCCCTGGACGTGCCTTTCCACCCCCATCAGGTGCACCATCCCCGGCCGAGTGACACACGCCCCATGGATGAGGTTTCTTCCTGCTTCCTGTGCCATATGTACTCCAGAAAGTCCAGCCATGGTCCATATAAATTAATCTTTGTCCTGCAATTTGCAAATCTACCCCCTTTTAAAATCTCCGACTACAGAAACAAGATAGAAGAGACGTATTACGGAGTACACAAAAACAGAAGAAAATTGAGAGAAAACAATGATTGACTTACTCTTCAAGAAGCATTGGTAGGGAGCCTACTGATTTCAGTACTGTGCCTGGCCCTGGCCCCCGAGCTACTGCGGGCTCAATCCCAGGGGACTGGAGCCTGAAGCTCCAGAGTCCAAAGAGACCGTGGCAGGTTAATGTCACTGCCGGGGATATCTGGGCATGCTTGGTTGTCTAGGAGTCTGCCATCTTCAGATCGCAGTCTTCCCTGCTTCCTGGGAGACCTTGGCTGTACTCACTCCCTACGCAAGAATGTGAGTGTGTGGCCTGCTCTGTTCACTGGGAAGGAAAGTGGGAAGCTGTAACCAGTGATTGCTTTTGTAGCTTGCATGGTCCTGGGCAGCATTCCCCGCATCTGAAAATGAGTGTGACTGTCTTCATGAGTGACTTGCGGCAGCCGAGGTGTGGCCATTACTGTGGGCCTTGGCTCCCTTGGCTGCAAAAATGACTTTCCAGATGGACTAAGGTCACCTTCTGTAGCCAAAGTGACTGGAGTCTGCCATAGGAAACCTCTAGCCATTCAGTGTTTACCAAGCAACTACTTGACTGAGGCAGGAGGGCTACACCGTTTAATGGAGGGGTTTCAGTCGGGAAGGTGGTGCTTGTTTCAAACATACCACAAACCCACAGCATCTAGTTACATGACTGGGACTCAAGACTGGGTCACGCAGCTCCATCCTGAGGCTGAGGCTGCACCTCTTCTCTGGTTTCGAACTCAGAGCCTCCCACTTGCTAGGCAAGCACCTATGGCTTAGCTATATCGATTGCCCTTTTGATTTTGGGGTAGGACCTTGCTAAGTTCCGCCAGCAGGCCTTGAACTTGTGCTCTTCCAGCCTCAGCTTCCAGAATGGCTAGGATCGCAAGCCTGCACCAACATACTTGGCCTTGTGATCTTTTCCTGTATGATGGGACTCTTTGACAGCCTTGTGAAGCCCGGAACTCTCTTAATTCGTGAAACATAATACATAAGGTGACGGGAAAGAATTATACTGGAGTGGTTATCAAAATATCTTTAAGACAAATTTGTTTTATACTAAATTATACTTCATTATTAACACATGAATAATAAGCCATATTGGCAGGCCTAACAGCCCTCATAATTTCTAGGGAGCAGTGAATGCAAATGATGTTTCCTATGTCTACAGCTCCTGTCAAGTGATGTATGAAGATATGTTATTTCTGTTGAGGACCGAGCCCCCAAGCCATCCTATCCCGCCTTGTTGCTTTTATAAAGGGAAGATTTGTAATGTATCAGCAAAGGTTCATGAAAATGAAAGTAGGAATGGATCTTCCCATCCACATGCCCAGACTCCATGTGTAGTCCACTTGGTAATAATGTGTAAATTTTCGGTGCACTGTAGGTTAAGAATCCCTGTGCGCGAGGGCTGTGAGCTCGCTTGCATGTGCCTCCACTTCCCTGGCCTCCTTCCTCTCTCCCTCCATCCTTGTAGCCCTCTTCCTCTACTTATTTATGTGTTTCGACAGGGTCTTGCTGACCTCACACTCACAGGCTTATCTTGAACTCACAGAGATCTGCCTGCCTCTGCCTCCCAAGTGCTGGGGTTGCAGACACGTCTCTCCATCCCCGGCCGAGGGATGGTCTTTTGTTTATTATCAGCCTGGGCATGGGTTGCAGGTGCTTGCTCATGTCCTCTGACCACGGTGGCGTTGTAAATGGCACAGAGCCGCTCAGGTAGCAAAGCTGTGTCACCCATGGGGCAGGTCCTCCCTATGGTGGGAGTGGCTGGTGATACAAATCTTAGTATGTAACTTGAGGATTTAGCAACAGTCTACAAGAGAAAACCTGGATTGCCACAGGCTTTGCCCAGGTCTCCTCTTGCATTCTGAATCCTTAGAACTGTCCCCTCCCTCCCCCACCCCCCACTCTAGTTCATCTCCCATTGCCAAACCCTGCAATCTGGAATACCAGGACCCATGGTTACCGATCGGACAGATACTTAGCCGCTTTCACCCAGAGAGTGGACCGCACAGCTGAACAGACATTGGTGGACCCTAGGAAGGCATTTCTTGATCTATACAGAGGAGAGAGAGAGGGACGAACCAGACTTTTAAACTCTTTTTCCTCATATTGTGTCCACCCCATTCTCTGTCCTGTGTTGGGATGGATGTTGAACTTGGCTTGAAACAGTTATTTGAAATATCGTCAAGATTTGGAAGTATTCACAAGGAAGCAGTATCTGTTGGAGGGCATGGGCTTGGTGTTGTCTGGACACTAGCCTTTGTCCCTGAGCTTCCTGGCAACGGCAGTGGATGCTGAACGGGTTCTGCTGGAAGGTGGGGACTGTGTCTCACTTGACTCCACTGGGAGAAGTTGGCTGTCATTGAGTGACGGTTCCCAGAGCATCACTGTAGCGTGAATTCTTCCACTCTGATTACAGATGTTCGACATTTTAAAAACTCCCTGAATAGACTACAATATTTCCATTTAAAAGCTTTGACAGTGGAATACTAAACAAGACCTTCCTTGAGTCTGTGACACCCAATACTTTAAGGCTTCCCCTAAATATAGGTTACTTTTAATTGTCCACAGTCATGAGAGGATGGTGGCATGGAGAATGCAGAACTCATTGGGTTGGGGGTTTAGAGTATGTCTCATGTTTGACTTTCAGCTGGGCATGTCTAATGAAATGACAGTCTACGTGCATCACATTGTGAAGGACTGACTCATGAGGAGAGATGTCTGGTTTCACTTTCCTGGCTCATCTGTATAGGGTTTTCCACCCCCACCCCCAGGGTGCTGGAGCCAGTGATGGTAGAGGAGGGCGCTACCATGGAACCACTGGGCTTCAGTCTCCGTGTCAGTAAGATGACCATAACAGTACCCACCTCACATTGTTAATTTCAGAATTAATGTCCAGTAAGTACATAAAAGCAATATAAGTGTTTGCTGGTGTTCATTGCTTCTCTTTTCCAAAACCAATTTAGTGTGTGTCATGAATTTATTCATTAACTATTCCTCAAGTGCTTTCAACTGCACAAAGCCTTCTAATTTTAACACAATAAATCAGTTTAAAAGGAGGTGATCTAGAGGGTGGTAAGGGGAAGGGAGGGTCTGGAAAGGGCAAACCACTCGATCACTTGACAGACTTGATTTTCCTCTTTTAGCGCTGCAGTTGGCTGTGCCCAGGACAGTGTCTGTGACTGAAGGGAAGGACCTGGACCTTTCTTGCAACATCACGACAGACCGGGTGGATGATGTCCGACCCGAGGTGACATGGTACTTCAGAAAGACACCCGATGCCTCCTTGCTTGCCTCCCACATGCTGGCTCGGCTGGACCGTGACTCCCTGGTACACAGTTCACCACACGTTGCTCTCAGCCATGTGGATACCCGCTCCTACCATCTACTGGTGCGAGATGCTAGCAAAGAAAACTCTGGGTACTACCTTTGCCTCGTGGCCCTCTGGGCTCCCGGACACAACAGGAGCTGGCACAAGGTGGCAGAGGCCATGTCTGCCCCGGCTGGTGTAAGCGTGACCTGGCTAGGTGAGTAGCTTGAAGAGCGCCTTTTAAGCCGTCTGCCTAATTCTTCCTGTGCACTCGGGAAGCCCGTGGTATGCTGGGCATTCTGCCTCGTTTAGATGTTTGGATCAGACAAGTGTCCTTGAGCTCCCCGGCTCCCGGGCTGGAGGGTAGCATGACAGACTCAAACAGCCTGGCCAGCGAGGGAAAGCGTGCTGATGTTTGTTCCAGTACCTTTGCTGGAGAATGTGGGTTCCTTTGTGGTTGAGAGCCACCTGCCTGTGAGAGCTGAGCTAGCTGAATGACTCTTTGTGGTGGCTCTTCGTTGAGGGGAGAGACAGCCATCTTCTTCTCCTTACTTAGGCATTTGTGCCCTGGGCTAGTGCGTCCTGAAGCGCAACGAGAAAGAGCAGTCACCTCCTCCAGCTACCAAGAATGTTCTCTCCTCCTCCTGCTTTGGAAGCCCACAGTGGTTTTCTCTGCAGATACAGTTTACAGTAGCGGCCATCCACCTCCCTGTCTCCCCTCAGGCTCTCAGCCCAGACGCTGCTCCCTTGGTGGAGGGGCAGAGGGGTCATCTCACCCCATGTTTTATAGCAGTTTGTAACATGGGAGGATGACTGATGTGTCCTCATAATGTTACCCCATTGTCATGCATGTGATCCCTTATCACATATGTTATTGTGGTCATGTTCTACCTTGTCATATGTCAACTGATAGATCCTCATCTTGCCATCGTGTGTGCTCTCTGGAGAGTGCTCACTTTATCATGTGTGTGCTCCCTTGGGACTCCTCACTTTACCATGTGTGTGCTCCCTTGGGACTCCTCACTTTACCATGCATGTGCTCCATGCTGTCCTCACTTTACCATGCAAGGTCTCTTCACCTTGTCTTCCATGTGATTGCTGTCTTACCTGTGATTCCCGCTGTGTCCTCGCCTTAGGAATGATTTGACTCGACTTCCTGCGTGCCCTCTTTCTCATCTCTTTTTCCCTGTGTCTGCCCACAGGGAGGAGTGTGTCCTAGCCCTTCCTGTTGTTCATCAAGGCTTGTAATTGCAGTCCGGCTTAGGAGGGATGGGCCTGTGGGGTGCGGCTCGCTCCCCACCGGCATCATTTCCCAGCGGCCAGGCCTGTGGTCAGCTCTTCTGCTTCCAGTGCTGTGGGCCTGACCAAGGCATTTGAGTTTTTTGTTAAGAAGGCAGCACAGATCTTAAAGGCCAGGAAATGACTTCCCCTTCTGCCTGATGCTAAACCTCCTCCTGCATGTGCACGTCTTCAGCTCCCATAGAGTTCTTCTCTACCTTCCAGAGAGGTCCTCTACTAGCTCAAGGGTGAGCTCCCTGTCTGGCTGTCCCTAACAAGCCTCTCTTTGGCACAGATGGGAACTTGGCAAGTGGTAACAGGGGGGTGCAGGGGGAAGAGTCCTTAGAGAGTATGCAGTAGGAAAAGTCCAATCAGGGCTGAGACAGGGTGAGCGGGGTGTGGGGGTGCTAGTCAGCCCCACGAGCAAAATGGAGCTTTGATATCTGGAGGGCGAAAGGAGCAGGCTTATCTGGAGAGCTTTCATTCCCGCAGTCAGAAGCCTGTGCGAGCGAGCAAGCGAGGCGCACTGTGAAGTCCTGAGCTGGAACAATGCTGGCCCAGCTAGGACTCTCCTTAGCAACCTTCAAAATAAAACAGATGTTGTCAGCACCAAGAGAAGAGTTTTCATCTCTGGAGTTGAATCTGTCTCCTGGCTCTGATCCTAGTGCATTGTGTGGCTCTGTTAAATTCCCACTCTGGCTCTCTCCCCTCCTCTCCCCTCCAACTTCTGAATCCTAGCTCCAGGATTTTTTTTTTTTTTTTGAAAATTCTGCCTGCACTTCAATTCGAGGGCTTCTTTGAAGTCCTGGCGTATTGATCCCACATACCCTGGGGGAAGTATAGGCACTGTCAGACATCAGGGGCAAGCTCTGGGAGGGAACGGGCTTTGGAACGGGAAGGGATTTGTCGGTGACGCGTTCTCCAGAGATCGAGAGCAATAAAGAGGCTAAACTGTGGGAAAGACTCCTTTATTATCCCAAGGATCCTGCCGCTTGTTTTCCTGCAGCGTGCCAGCGCTGTTGTGAGAGTCATCTGTGCGCGTCTCCAGTGCACTAGACATCCAGTGGAACCCAGCCCTTCCTGCCCGTGCTTTACACGGAACAGGCGCTCCATCAGCGTTGGCTGAGTGGAGGAAAAATGTCAGCCCCAACCTACAGATCACATAAGACCTACGCAGATAAAAACCAGACATGTATGTGGGCCTAGCCAGGGCTGAGAATAGTCAGAGACCCTTGTGCACACGGGAACTCACCCGGAGTGGAAATACTGTGGAAGACAACTGTGCTCTTCTCTTTCTGCCTCTTAAGTCTTCCCTCCTCTTCCCTGTCGGTGACTCATGCTTTGCAGCTGCGTGGACACTCATCTGGAGACGACTCAGGCCCGACTACAGCCACAGGCCTTTAGTCACAGTCTGCAGACTGCATTCTCTGCCCAGATCCTGAGGCAACTAGCTGACTTTAAATGTTGTCTCTAGAGATGTAGTTTGTGCATGCCATCAAATACAATTAAATGTTGTCTCTAGAGATGTAGTTTGTGCATGCCATCAAATACAATTGAGCCTGTGTAGGATAATGAAGATGTGACACCCCCCCCCCAAAAAAAAAAGCCAGGAAGACAGATGACCTGCTTAGAGTTGTGTGACATGGACTGTTGTCACAGAGGCATTTTTTTTTTGGGGGGGGGAGGGGATGAGGCAGGGCTTCTCTGTGTAACTGTCCTGGCTGTCCTAGAACTTACTCATTCCATAGACCAGGCTGGCCTTGAACTCACAGAGATCTGCCCGCCTCTGCCTCCTGAGTGCTGGGATTAAAGGCGTGCGTCACCACCACCCAGCTCACAGGGGCATTGTTAAGAAAGTTGGACCCCTGTGTAGATATGACACAGCACTCAGTTTTGCACTGGACATGTTAAGAATTATAATTACCGTCATTGGACACTTACTTTTTCAGGCACTGATGGAGAACTTCCTATGCACTAAATGGTCAGGCGGGAAGTGCTATTGATCATCTTTGGAAAATGTACTCCTCTCCCAGTGGGAGCTAAACATGAGGCTAATTTTTGTTTGGGAGTGGCTTAGAATTATGGCCTGGGTTGAGTCTGTCCTGAGCATTGTTGTTGTATGTGGGGCACATCTTTGGCTTTGGAAATCAGCTTCACCACCTGAGATGGCCAGCATCAAGTCTTGAAGATGAGCTGTTCCTGTCTTCGTCTTCCGAGCTGTTGTGCCAATTGATGAGGGGGTGGGATGGTCGTCTCAGGTCGGTCGTGTTACATGGGCCTGATAGTGATGGTCTGAAAAGCGAAAGATCCTTCGTAGCAGGGCAGGGATTTTTTTTGTTTTGTTTTGTTTTGTTTTTTGAGACAGGGTTTCTCTGTGTAGCTTTGCGCCTTTCCTGGAACTCACTCTATAGACCAGGCTGGCCTCGAACTCACAGAGATCTGCCTGCCTCTGCCTCCCGAGTGCTGGGATTAAAGGCGTGCGCCACCACCGCCCGGCCAGGGATTTTTTTTTTTAAGAGGGTTTAAAAAAAGATCCTTTGCTACGATTTGTGTCCACCTTTGAAGGAGGAAAAGATATAAGTTGGTTTGCAAAATGAAGAACAAAGCAGCTGACATAAAAATATAATCAAGATCAAAAGGGGCGAAGAGAATCTAAGAATAGATATTGCGAGGTGGTTGGGATGAATTAGTTGCTGCATTTGAGCGCTGAATTTGTGAGTTTGGAAATCGAGACAAAAAGATGTGATTATCCAGTTCTCTGAGGAAAGAAAACATAAACTCTTTCAGAGAGGCAAACTTTTTCTTGGCACTGAATTTGTCCCATGCTCTTTCATTTCGGGGGCAGTGGATAATAATTTAATGGACAGTGCTTTCGACTGTTCTTTTACCAAAGGCCTTCGGTGATTGTTCAAATGGATGTTTCTTATACCCACGCTTTCTCAGAGCCGAGGGTATGAGTTCTAAGTGTGGAAAGGAGTTTTTCTTGTAAAGAACTTGAATTGCTTCAGGAAACAAATGTTGCTTTGTGTTGATCCAATTTAGTGTATGGCTAAAATGTAGAGAGCCGAGCGGAATGGCCAGTTAATCCGCACATTAAGCCATCTCTCTCTGCTATCAGATATCTTAAACGAGCCTTTGGCAAGAGTTGGATACTAATCAGTTTATGGTTGAGCTCTCAGCCCAAAGTACCAGACTTCTGCGGTGTTAATTAGAGATGGTTCCAAAGGCTTGGGATGGGGCGGGAGGGGGGCAGAGCTGAGCTCCACTGTTCAGTCTTAAGAACCTGATTTGCATTCTCCCCCACCGGAGAACCATCCCCTCTTCAGCAGTGTGCCAGCAAGGAGGGCAATTATTTTTTCTTTAAAAGGACTGTTAATCTGCTAAGTACTTAGAAGAAATTTGAATTCTGTGCTGTCTCTAGGACATCCTGTTTAGATCTATGGAATTTATAGCATGGCTATTGCCCATGTCTGTCCAGGATTATTCCAGAAGTGTAAGTGGTGGAGCATTGGTGTCAGAGAGACTTTTGGGGTTTTCTTGGTTTAATAGGAAAATGCATCAAGTGCTTAGTATAGTAGCTGGTGTTATACGCTTGGTACATTCTTTGGTGGTAGTGATGATGATTTAGTAGTCCTCGAGGGTCTTCTCCACCAAGTCGTTAGCCAGTTGGGATGTAGGAGTATGTGTTTGGGCACCGGGGATTCCAGCATGGAGGAACCGGGAGTGTATATCCCGGAAGTAGCATTCCCAGGAGGTGCTGGGGCACAGGGGTTGGGCTAAGCACACCCAGCCCTTCCTACTGCGCTCACAGATCTGGATTTTTATTTCCCTCTCTGAGAGGAGTAGATGAGGATGAAGAGAGTCGAGGGCATCGGTGTTCCGTTTGAATCATCGTATTGCTCTGAAATGGCTAATGCTGACTTCTGTCATGATAGTAAT